GCCAAGGCAGGCAGGCAGCGCGGGCTCTGCCAGCCTCCAGCGGGCTCCCACTCACCACCGGCTATGCTGGCACCGTCCTTCTGCCAGGTGACCTCTGGCTGGGGGACGCCTGTTGCCTCGCAGGACAGCACCGCGCTGGTGTTGACCATCACCATCACCATGCCGGGCAGGGGCTTCAAGGCAGGGGGCTCTGCAAGCAGCAGGGAAGTGTTGCCCACCAAGGATCACCCCAAGGTGGGCCAAGGAACAGGGAGGGGGACCCCCAGGAGCCATGCATACCGTGCACCACGAGCCGGAGGTGTTTTCGGGCTGTGCCAGCAGCGCTCCTCGCCGTGCAAGTGTAGCGGCCGGCATGTGCCGGCAGCGCCTGCCGGATCTCCAGGGCCCCTGGGAAGACAGCAGGCAGAGAGGAGGCAGCAGGAGGGCTGGCAAGGACCCCCCACCCCACCAGGGCTGCACTGTCCTGTGCCCGTACCTGTGGGCAGGACGCGGTAGCCCCCTCCTCGGCTGCCCAGCTGAGCCCCCTCCTTGCTCCATGACACTGTGGGTGGGGGCACACCGGAGGCATAGCAGGTGAGGACAGCAGGGGACAGCCGGGTGACAACCACGTCCATAAGGTCGTCAGCAATGGTGGGGGGCACTGGAGAGGGGAGGGAGGTGAACAGGGCTGCGTAGCAAATGCTGAAGGGGATTCCATCCCCACACACGTGGGCCCAGGTATTTTTATTTCCATTCTTGCCCACCGCCATGCCCAGTCCTCAAGAGGGGACCCAGCCCCGCAGGGGGGCTGGAGCACACCCACATCACACCCAAGGTGGTGACAGACCCTGGGAAAGCCACTCTCAGCAAGACTCACAGCTCCCGGGATCTCACCGTAGATGGACACAAGGAAGACCTTGCGTGCCTCTCCGGCGGCATTGGTGGCGATGCACTCGAACTGCCCCTCATCCCGGGGACCGGGGCTGGCGAGGAGCAGCGACCCTGAGGACTGCAAGCTGCGTGGGCAGAGCATGGATCAGGGTCAGCCCCTGTCCCACGGGGAGCAGCTAGAGAGGGAAAACCCCACCCTACAGCAGGACCCTTCAGTGGGCAAGGTGGCCGGTGCTGCGGGTACCTGTAGGTGCCGGGCAGGAGGTGTGGGTGCAGGGGGCGGCCATCCTTCTCCCACCTGATGTGGGGCTCGGGGGATCCCCAGGCATCGCAGCCCAGCATGGCCTGCTGCTGCGCCAGCAGGGTGAGGTTGGAGGGCCCAGGGGCGATGGTGGGAGGGACTGAGGAAGGGCATGGCAGTGATGAGCAGAGGACAGCAGCACGTCATTGTACTGAGAAAAGCAGCCCAGCAGCTGCAGGATGGGTGGCAGGGGGGTGAGCCCAGGAGGGACCCATCTGGCTCTTCCACTTACCCAGTACGTGGAGGTCCAGGCCTCGCCAGTCAGAGCCAGCGGGGCTGGATGCCATGCAGAGGTAATGGCCCGAATCCTGGACCTGAACGGAGTCGATTTGGAGGGAGCCGCCTGGCAGGAGCTGCAGCCTGGGGAGGGAGAGCAAGGGAGTCCCACGGGGGCTCTGCATGGCTGGACTGCAATGCATGGGGACAGGCAGCTGGGAAGGTGGCAAGTGCCATTGCAGCCATGTGTGGCGCGTGTTCACTGAGCTGGTGTGTGACCAGAGCACAGCTCTTCACGGGGGGACAGTGCTGTCTGCTCTAGGCATACCAAAACATCTATTGATGTGGAGAGAGGCACGATCTGAAAGTCAGCTCTTGGTGCCATCAACCCACAGAGCCTCGTACCTGTTGCTCCCATGAAGGGGCAGGAGCCGGCCATCCTTCTGCCATGTCACCCGGGGCACGGAAAAAAGCACGGCAGCATCGCCGAGCCGTTGAGCAGCGCCCTCGCCTCCTCAGGGCCCGGCTGGATCTCTGGAGCCACTGCAGCAGCACCCAGCCAGCACCACAGAAAGTCAGAGACACGGTTCAGGGGATGGAGGTCATCAGCCCAGACCAGCACCGGAGGCTGGACACCATCCAACCCTGCCTTCCCATTACCCCGACCGTAAGACACCCCAGAATATTGCACGTCCCTGAACTAACAGGGAAGGAGCTGGCACTCGCTGCCAACAGAGCCCCGAGGCAGGGTGGCACTCACCGTGAACCTCCACCCGGAGGCGCAGGCTGGTGTTCCCCAGCGGGCTGGTGGCCCTGCAGCTGTACTCCCCGCCATCCGCTGCCCCCACGGCCTGGATCTGCAGGAAGCCCCCCTCGGCCAGTGCGGGCATCCTCCTAACGCCCCCGGGAGCCCCCGTCAGCAGCTCTCCCCACGTCACCCCCACCACGAGCCTAACGGGACTGGGGCAGGCGCATCCCAGCCCCTGCCCGTGCACCGTCCCAGGTTCTATCACACGTACCTGCAGCGGGGACCCCTCACGGTACCACTCGATGTGGGGAGGCGGCACGGCATCCTCAGGGCACTCCAGGATGAGCTGCCCCCCTGCCACAGCGGTGATGCTGGGCGTCTCACCAACGCTTGTGATGCTGAGAGGCGCTGTGGTACACGTGCCAGGTGAATCAGGGGGTGCCAGGTGGGTTGGGCACCCCCATACCCGTCCCCGTAAGTCATGCATGGACTCCCCCCACTTTGCAGGACCATCACGCTGTGCTCCAGACACCTCTTTGGAGGTTTACGGCCCTCACTGCTCTCCCTATCCACCCCCTCAACAATCCCAAGGAGGGATGTAGGGAATGCTCCATCTCTCTGCCCTCCCCAGAGCTCTGACCACCCCACAGCACCCCCTGCTAGCACCCTCCTCGCTGTGCTGCTGGGGCCACACTACCTTGGATGCTGACATGGAAGCTCCTGCTGTCCTCCCCGGCAGGGCTAGCGGCCAGGCAGGTGTACAAGCCAGCATCAGCCACCTCCATAAAGCCAGGAGAGGGAAAAATTGAGGCATGAAAAGAAAATGCAGGTGGAGAGAAGAAAGAGGAACCCCTACCTTAGTACTCTCAATGTGGAGGGTGCTCTCATTCCCCAACACAAGCCAGGGCCCTGCCAGCAGCCGTCCATCCTTCTCCCAGGTGACAGTGGGCACAGGGACACCCCTCACCACACACGTCAGCTCTAGCGGGGTGCCCACAGCAATGGACATCTCGGTGGGCTGGGACGCAGCCTCGACGAGGGGCGGCTCTGCAAGGCACACGGAGAGGTGGCTGGGCTCCTCCCCTCGTTGCTCCCAAAAAATTGGCCCTTCCCAAATCCCTGGGGGAAGACACGCACCCATCACCAGGAGGTGGAAGGCTTTGCTGGCTTCCCCCACCTCGTTGGATGCCAGGCAGGAGTACACCCCCACGTCAGCTGGCCCCACGGCCACCAGGCTTAGCCGTGGGCTGCTGGGCGCCTGGTTGCTCTGCCGTGCCAGGGGCTCGCCGTCCTTCAGCCAGGTCACTGCCGGTGCTGGGGACCCAGTGGCTTCACAGGTGAAAGTGACATCGGAGCCCTGGGCCACCACCTGCTCCTCGCTGCTCTCTGAGCTCTCCAGGACAGGGGGCACTGGGGAGGGAACGGTCCCCCTTAGCTGGGTCCTGGGAGCAAATTCGGGTCCCCAGGCAATAGGGACAGATTTGGCAGTTCCCTGATGTCCTGCAAGCACCCAAAGGTGGCTCAGCCTCCCTACAGGTGCTCTGGGATGGCTTTAAAGCTGGTCCCACCTCACTCCAGCCTCTCCGAGCCCACCCCAGCACCCAAGGGATGGCTCAGGACCTGGCTTGGAAATGGGGCTGTAAAGCACAACATGTGCTCTGTCAGCAAAACTGGTGCCCAGGTGCCCTTGCCCTTCTCTCCCCAAACCCCCGGCTGCCTCATACCCTGTATCTGCAGGACGAAGCTGCGATCGGCCACCCCTGCCCGGCTGGAGGCAATGCAGGTGTAGAGCCCGGTGTCAGAGACCTGTGCCTGGGAGATCCTACCCCACGGAGCAGGGCACAGAGATGGGGAGGAGATATCAGCTCTGCATCCCCCCCCTGCCCCCCAAGGTCTCCACGCTGATACGCAGCCACCTCAGGGTGCAGCCATGGCCATCCCAGCACGCAAACCTGGGTACCAGCCCCAAAACCTGCAGCCGAGCATCACTCCAGGGTCGCTTCTTACCGGAGGACGTGCCCAGCCGAGAGCAGGGTGATGCGGGGGGACAGGCGGAGGGGCAACCCGTCCTTCAGCCAGCTTACATGCAGCGGAGGGGACCCCCGCGCCCGGCACTCCAGTGTCACCGCTGCGGACAGAACTCCACGGACCACCTCCGAGTCATCGGCACCTCGCTCGATGGCGGGGGGAACTGGGCGAGGGGACAGAGGGGCTGATGGGGCTGTCAGGGGTGGGTGGCCCTGGTGCTGTCCCGTGGGCCCCGGCCCTGCTCACCCAGCACGCTCAGCGTGTGCAGCCGTGCATCTTCCCCCACGCTGTTTCGGGCCACGCAGGTGTACGCCCCCGAGTCTGCAGCTTGGACCCCCTCAAGGAGCAAGGAGCTGCCATCCGGGGACATCCTGCTCGAGGAGGACAGTGTAGTGACCTGGGTGTCCATCCCTAACGTGCCCACAGGGCAGAGAGGCTCTGTGCTTGGTGGCAAGCCAGGCTGCAGATTTTGGGGTATGCTGTAAGGCCGGCACAGTAGCTGGGACCCTGACACGGTGACAGTGACCACGCCAGGCTGCAGCACCATCCGGGACACCAGGGCTTAACCCAGGGTGATGCTCCTCAGCCAACAGCTGGGATATGCTCATCCCAGCCCAAGCGAGGAGCCAGGGGAGAAGCAGCAGAGCTCAGCCTGCCTTGCACTGCCCTTTTACACATGGGGAAACTGAGGCACAGACAGGGCTCTGCCGTGGCTACCCTGTGGGATGGTCCCCCTCCCCCACACCCCAGACTCACCGGGCACGTGAAGGGGACTGCAACCCCAGGGGCTGCCCGTCCTTCAGCCAAGAGACGTGGGGGGTGGGCTGCCCCTCTGCCCGGCACTCCAGCCTCACCCCTCTGCCCTCCAGCACGTTATGCTCACTGGGGACCCCCGCGCTGGCAATCCGGGGTGCCACTGCACCGAGAAGAGAAGGAGGCTGAGGAAGACGAGGAGGAGGAAGGCTCCCATCCAAGGGAGGGCCCATGGGGACCCATGCTGCTTTGGGGAAGCCCTACCTCGCACCAGCACCACGAAGTCCTTGCGCGTCTCGGCGCCTGGGCCCTGCACCAGGCAAGTGTATCGGCCCTGGTGGAAGGGCTGCAGGGGGCTGAGCTGGAGCTGGCCCCCCCCGGACACCAGGCCCCACTCCGGGCTGCTCTCTGCGAGGAGACAGGGTGAAGGGGGCTGCAGCAGGGCTCCTCCGCCGAGCCCTCCGCAGGCACATTGTCATGCTCCTGCCCTCCCACCGCCAGGACCCAGGTTTGGGGACCCCATTAAAGCAGAGGCTGGGGCTGTGCAGAGCACTGTACATTGTTGGAGATTTGCAGGAGAAGAGAGCCACTGGTTTGGGGGGCAACCCCCCTGTTCCAGCAGGTACCCTAAGGGCTGGTACCCAGAGAGCTCACCCCCACATCCCTCCATCACATCTCACGCCCACATCCCAATGCTTCAGCCTCAGGAACGAAACGGAGGCCTCAAAAACATGCAGGGAATATGTCGGCTCCTTCATGCTCTGCCTCCTCCCCTGTGAGGCCCTGCATGTCTCTTGCAGTAGAAAAAAAAGGGGAAACTGAGGCAGGACTGCTTTAGGCGCGGCAGCAGCGGTGCTCGGAGTGGCAGCCCAGCACGATGTCCCCCTGTGCACATACCCAGAGGGCTCCCATCCTTCAGCCAGGTGACAGCAGGCATAGGCACACCAGTGACTTGGCAGGTCAGGACGAGGGGAGTCCCCACATCAGCATCAAGCGTCTCCTGCTGCGGGTCCTGGATGCCCGGAGGCTCTGAGGAGGAGGAGGAGCAGGGCCGGGGTGTGTGAGCAGGAACATGCAGACCCAGCATGTGCCATCGGCTCCTCGGTGCACACTCGGGAGACAGAGCTCCCAGCCGAGCCCTCGCCGCTTACCGTGGACGGTGAGGATG